GAATTCATCTCTTACCTGGCATCTAAAAACATAACTCTGTCCCATCAACTGAGATCCATTTATGAAGAGTATGTCACTAAAAATGCATCACATACATCTCTTATAATATTCTTAATATTAAATACTGGATAATCTTAATATTAATCATAAATCTGTGCTTTCAGGTACGGTTACCACATTACCAAGAACTCCTACTTCATCTGTCACAACCAAGACACCATTAAAAAGTTGTTTGAGCGCCTCCGAAACTACGGAGTGGACAACTCGTACCCTAAAGAGTGTGGAGGTTTTGCCATCAGTGCAGTGAGAGACCTTACAACTGGATACGACAGCAACCAGCCCAACAACAAGGCCGTGTGTAGCTCATAATGATTGCAGAATTTTTTTGGTAGATAAGCCTATTTGTGTCTTATATGTGTGTTTCTGTAATTGCAGGTTCTGCCCACTAGTAAGAGCAGTCAGATGATTACCTTCAGTTTTGCTAATGGTGGTGTGGCTACAATGAGGACCAGTGGAACGGAGCCTAAGATCAAATACTACACTGAACTCTGCGCTGCACCAGGAAACAGGTTTCAAAAGGCTTCATCAGTTCACACTGTTAAGCTGGGTTCACATCAAATGTGAACTTAAGTGTTTGTGTTAGTACATATAATGCAAGTCAATACAAATGCTTGAACAGAAGGGAGGGGTTTGGATGCAGAACTGGGGCAGTCCAATCTGAGCTGCATTCAATGCTTTTTATTCAAACTAACCCCACCCCTAACCCTTCCCGTCACATTGATGTCACTCACTCCATTGAGTGCATTGTGTCCAGTGCCGGCGCGTCCATGGACCTAGGCGGCCGCCTATGGCAGCAGAATAGAGAGGGCGGCGTCTGCGACACTACCCTCACCACCCGCGCCCTCATATATATCCACATCTAGTTCGGTAGAATAGAGAGGGCGACGTTCGCAACACTACCGTCACCACCCGCTCCCTCAGTTATATCCGCGTCTAGGGCGGCAGAATAGAGAGGGCGGCATCCGCTACACTACCCTCACCATCCGCGCCCTCAGTTATATCCGCATCTAGGGCGGTAGAATAGAGAGGGCGGCATCCGCGACACTACCCTCACCACCCGCTCCCTCAGTTATATCTGCATCTAGAGCGGCAGAATAGAGTGGGCGGCATCCGCGACACTACCCTCACCATCCGCGCCCTCAGTTATATCCGCATCTAGGGCGGTAGAATAGAGAGGGCGGCATCCGCGACACTACCTTCACCACCCGCTCCCTCAGTTATATCTGCATCTAGGGCGGCAGAATAGAGTGGGCGGCATCCGCGACACTACCCTCACCATCAGCGCCCTCAGTTATATCCGCGTCTAGGGCGGCAGAATAGAGAGGTCGGCGTCTGCGACACTACCCTCACCATCACCATCCGCGCCCTCGGTTATATACGCGTCTAGTGTGATAGAATAGAAAGGGTGGCATCCGCGACACTACCCTCACCATCCGTGCCCTCAGTTATATCCGCATCTAGGCGGCAGAATAGAGAGGGCGGCGTCCGCGACAGCCCCCCTCCCCTTTCATTTTAGGGTTGAGGGCGGCGGGACCGTCCTTTGCCTAGAGCGGCAGTTCAGTTTGCTCCGCCCCTGATTGTGTCTGACATTGCTTCGCTGAGTAATGCAATCTCAGCTTGCATCATAAAGGCTGCATCCAGATACTATTGGAGCAGAGGCTAATTTCCACAAGGTGGCATGAATGACGTACAGTATAACGCATGATGTAAAATTCACCTCAATTGCATCTTCCATGCAAGTTAAAAAAGTATATAATTTAATGCAATCTCTAGTGGCTAATTTGTTGAGTTCAAATGAATTTGTATAATTATATTCTTACATTTTAGTACAATTTGCCCATATCCCATTCATGGTTTGGTTTAGACACTCCTCTTTTTAAAAATGGTAAAATTTTGTGTGATTGAAATCATATATATTTGTACAAATTAGCCACTTTTCTGAAAATAGTTTAAGATGTTGCGTTTCGTTGTGAGATTGGGCTGGATAATTTGTGTTTAAAAACATCCTGTGAGTAATCTAGGGCAGGGGTTCCCAAACTTTTCAGGCCGCGACCCCCAAAATGACAATGCCAGTGACTCGTGACCCCCAATATCCTCTGAGGTGGTTATAAATACAGAAACCTTGCATGCAATGGCACACACACAAACCAGTGGACCCAAGTTTATTCTTCTTTTAATTTTTTTTATGTATGAGAGCTGTAAATGGACCACAAAGTTTAACCAGGTGTTATGAAATCTGCTGCATCTGACGCTATTGCTTTGTCTTTAATACAATGCAATTACCTCAGGGGTTGCAATCCAATAGAAGTAGTAACTATAGGCTACTAGTAACTATATATGGTATAAACGACTGTTTTTTTCTCTTCAGAAGGTTATGGATAAAATATGGTAATTCTTATGGTTTAATAAAAATAAATAGATTTTTGGAAACCACCAGGCGACCCCCCTTCATTGTCCCGCAACCCCTCGGGGGGTCCCGACCCCCACTTCGAGAACCATTGATCTAGGGTAATCTAGGTTACGCAGTGCTTTGCATCTGGTGTGAACCCATCAGAACTATTTTTGTTTTTATTAATATTATTATTAACAATAAATGCAAAGACAAAAGGCAGTAGATGAGTAGTTTAGTTTGACCAGTTCAGTTTTTATTTGGACACTCAGGATTGCCTTTATCACAGTCAGTTTTGCTGTTTTTCTAATCACAGAATTGTTTTGCTACACTTTTATGGTATTACCTCAGTAATAGTATTTTTCTTATTTTTTATGCATAAAATATATTTAATAAAATTATTAAATGTAAACTTTTTAATAGAAATATCTATTTTATATAAATTGTATTAGTTATAGGAGCGAAACGGTGGTGCAGTAGGTAGTGCTGTCACCTCACAGCAATAAGGTCACTGGTTCGAGTCTCGGGTGGGTCAGTTAGTGATTCTGTGTGGAGTTTGCATGTTCTCACCGCGTTTGTGTGGGTTTCCTCTGGGTGCTCTGGTTTCTCCCACTGTCCACAGTCCAAAGACATGCAGTACAGGTGAATTGGGTAGGGTAAAATGTCCATAGTGTATGAGTGTGAATGAGTGTGTATGGATGTTTCCCATGGGTTGCGGCTAAAAGGACATCCGCTGCGTAAAACATATACTGGATAAGTTGGCGGTTCATTCTGCTGTGGTGATCCCAGATTAATAAAGGGACTAAGCCGAAAAGAAAATGAATGAATGAATGTACTAGTTATATTCTTATATTAGTTCTTATCACTAGTATTGTAGAAATTTTATTGTTAATGCATTAACCAGATTTTTTCTATCTGATACCATGATTATTAGTATTCAATATGACGATATTATGGTAATATTACAAATGTATTACTTTAGTCACAATAGATATCATTCATTCATTTATTTCTTTTCTTTTCAGCTTAGTCCTTTTATTAATCTGGGGTCACCACAGCGAAATGATCCGCCAACTTATCCAGCATATTTTTTATGCAGCAGATGCCCTTCCAGCTGTAACCCATCTCTTGGAAACTTCCATACACACTTATATTTTACGGACAATTTAGCCTACCCAATTCACCTGTACCGCATGTCTTTGGTGAATTGGGTAGGCTAAATTGTCTGTAGTATATGAGTGTGAATGAGTGTGTATGGATGTTTGCCAGTGATGGGTTGCAGCTGGAAGGGCATCCGAGGCATAAAAATTATGCTGGATAAGTAGGCGGTTCATTCCGCTGTGGCAACCGCGGATTAATAAAGGGACTAAGTCGAAAAGAAAACGAATGAACGAATTAATAATGATAATATGTAAAGCAATTGCCTTAGTTTAATATTGATATTAATTATAAAAATCAATAAAATGATTATTATTTTTAATAATAATCTTATTATTATTATTAATATTATTATTAATCTTATTATTATTATTATTATTATTATTATTTATCTTATTATTATTATTATTATTAATATTATTATTATTATTATTTTTGTTTCCTCATAAAGGACAGAAAAATATCCATAGCCGGTCACATGCCTTAATATGCAACACAAGCCTTCATTGTGTGATAAACAATGGTCAGTAGTAACCCTATAGAAATTCTCAATGTTATTTTACATTTAAGGTATTCTGTGTTTACAGAACAGAGAGATAGTCCTACTCTAAAGAGATAATCCTACTCTTGGCATTTGTTAAATAATTGAAATAGCTCACAAGTAGAATTTGATTAGTATAATCATGCTTTCTGTCTTTATCTCTAGTGATCTCAACCAGTTGACAAAGGAGTTGGATAACCTGGTTGATGCCATCGTGGAGCACTTCTACCAACCTGAGAAAAACGGCCTGACTCCCCGACCAGAGTGAGAGATACCACAATACGCCACTACCGGGATGTTCTTAACTAATTCTGCTCTTAGTCTTAAACAACCACACATAACCAGTTTTATCACATGGGTCTTAATCTATGCAGGTTTCCTATGCACTTTTATCTGCTTTTAATGCAGGAAACGTAGATCAAATCTGGTGCCACATGAACATAACCGTTGCCTTTTTCATTTACTGGTTCATTTCACCACTTCTCAGTTTTATAATCTATGATATTATGTTATATATATATATATATATATATACAAGCAATTATTTTTATTTGCCTTTTTAGACGTTTAGTAGTGAACTATGAATGTACTAATTAACAGAGTTTGAATTAATTTAAAGGTTATTTACCTTAGCAGATATTTTAGGTGATTGACACAAATGTTTTCATATTGCAGGAGTACAAGACAGTGTCTAGTTACTGTTCGATTTAGACCAAATAACCTCACAAATCAGAATGCCAGCTATAGATTAGCTATGTTCAAGTCTAGAATTAAACCAAAAATCATTTAAAAGGAATGAGAGAGACCTTTACCTGGGACAAAAAGACTGATACCGATTTTAAGCTTGCCAAGTTTATATGATTCCATTGCTTCCTCATTCCACCATCTGTATTTAGTGACCTTTAGTTGTGTAATTTATGAAATGTGAGGTGTTTGTAAATGTTTGTCAACATTTTGAGATTGGGAACAAGTTTGTAATGTTTTATTCTCTCCTCCCCATTCCAGCACATGAGTTGTTTTCTTGAAAGCATAAGTGCTTGACCAAGTAGATTTCTGGCAATTAAGTAACTTGTTTTGAAACATCAAATAGCCATTGCATTGAGATTAATGCTGTATTACCAGCACAATGGGCTATATGCACACAGACTTTTAATTTTCAACCAGGCAGCCCAAGGGCTTCCGGTGAACTGTCTTTCCATAACGTTTAAGATCTGATTTCTTTAAAAATCAGCGATATTCACTGCCTGTTAGATATACGATATGAAGTGAGTCTCAGATCGGACAAGTAGCACTGCATTAATATATATTTCCCCACCATGTTTTTAAAATATAACAAGTATTTTCAATGGAATTTCTGCGCTAGCCTGTTGCCACAGACAGCCCTAGCTGTCTTTTATCTCGTTTTAGGCTTCAACAACTAAATGAAAGCTAAGTTTATTTAACTGAATGTAATGTAATTACATTACAACATCGATGCTGTAAAAACAATCTTGTGAAATTGAAAATAGTCACATTAAGCTTTCACCGGAAGTTTATCATTGGCTTTAAAACTCTAGCTGTGCATAGAGCCTATTGTTCACTAGTTATGAATTCATGTTATTTTATGTAAAGCTGACCAGTCAGTCCACCATCTTTTTCATGTAAACAGATTTAATATGTTTCGGGTGCTATTTAGTTTAACATTTTAATCACAAAGTTGTTTAACCCCCTGTTTTAAATGAATAAACTGCAAGTGGTCACCACAGAGTGCTCGTCTGTGCAAAAGAGGGATTGGGTGTCTTATCTGTTCAAGGCCAGTAAAGGGTTTTGTGGATCTTTTACATATTTGAAGACTTCAGATGCAATTGAATTTTGATCTAAAATAAGCCTTTTTTCTGCCTGCTGTGTTTATGTTCAGTTATTTCACTTTAAAAGCAATAAAATGAACCTATTCTTTTGCCTAAAAAGTGAAATTGCTGAACCTACACATAGGATGCTCAAAAAAGTGCTTAGTTCAGAAGAAACATTTAGATGGCACATGGAGGTTTTTGCATCTGAACTCCTAATTTCATCAGTCAAAAGTATAAAAAAAGAGATTCGTTGATGTGATGAAGTGATTAGTGATTTAGTCAAAAACGTTACCAAAAAAGTTAGGACACTCGATACTTCTAAAGCAGTTAGTTGAGTAAATGTTCACTGTAAAAAATGCAGTTCCACACAATTCATTTATGTTGTCCCTACACAGAACGATTGTTATTGTAACAATTTTAAGTGGATTGAATATAAAACTATTAAATTTTCCAAACAAATCTCCAGAATAGTTTTGTTTTAGATAATTTTAAATAAGTAGTTGGAACAAGCAGAAAAAAAAAACATTTTTGATAGTATATGTGTGTAATTAGAAAGAGAAAGTAAAGTCAACCTAAAGATTTTAGGGTTACAATTATTCCTGTTTTAAAGTACAAAAAATTTTAAACCTGAGAGTAGAAACGATGAATGAAGGCACACTTACGGCTGGCTAACACTTATTGAAAACTCAACTGTATTGCTACAGGACATGTACTGTACACTCCAAAAATAACTCATTGGATAAACATAATTTAATTGTGGGCAGGTGACCATTCAATTAATTTGTTTAGCATCAAAAAAATAAATTATTAAAGAAATTTTAAAAAACTATAAATGCAATTGAGTTGGTCCAAAATGATTTTATCAAATAAATGTTAAAATACATTTGTATTTTATTTACTTTAAGCTCACAGGTCTGATAGTATTATGTGTGTCTATTATGTGTCATACATTTCGAAGTCTCTTGAAGTTATCCTAAATTAACTAAAGGAAACATTTTTAAGCATATTTCATGAGTTACATATACAGCTGATTAAGACTGATCTCAGAACTAATTTAAGGACAGTTATTGCTCACTGAGCAAAGCTACAAACTTCATTTTTTGCTATTTTTTCTGTCTACATCCAAAGCATGGGTGCTTCTGCAAGGTGGTAATCTCAAAACTCAAAGCATTACATGTAAATCGTCAAACTAAAGTGAAGATTAAACCCTAACAAGTATTTTATTAACTTTAATCACCTAAGATTACTTGTATTGTCAATGTTTTTCTCTCTTAATTCAATCCTAAGCAAAGCATTCTGGGAACTACAAATCCCCTAACCAGGTAGCTGGACCAACACAATTGCTTCATGTTGTTCCAACAAAAAACGTTTGAGTTAACTTAATTTAATTACAAAAATTGTGTTTTTTCAGCTTATTTTAAACAGGTATTTTAAACAAGCAGCAGTAAATATATTTTTTGTGTATAGCAAAAATGTTAGATGTTAAATGTTACAAATGTTTTTGCACATATATTTCTTAACTTAAACTTGAATTGCCTCTGTGTATGAAATGTGCTATATGAATAAACTTGCCTTGCCTAAATGCGAACAGTCCGAGTTAATGATGACTAAGACATCCTTTTGAAACCCTTTTGAGTGCATGTGAAGAGATTACACAGGAATATGAGTAATATATGACAGAAGTGAATAAAATGTTTTCAGCTCACTTCTCTTTTTAAACCTACCAAAACCCACTAAATCTAGGTAAATTTCAAAGCAAATGCGTACTGTTTTTTTTTAATCCATCTTCTTTTTTTTGCTGATGCGTGTCTTGTCTCCCCTTGATGTGCACGCCATCATCAGTTCAGTTCATTCAAACGTCAGAAGAGAAAAGACTTCCTCATCAGAGCCGCGGGCACGCGCTGCTCTCACTGCTCCCAGTCCACTGTCGTGTTTTTGCTACCGTGAACGACTTACAAAGTGATTTATCGACTACTTTGGACAAACGTCTTCCTGAAAATCAGTTTCCAATGGAATATTACAGTCAGTATTGTCAAAAAGTAACGAGACCGTTATTCAAGCACTTCCTCGACTAGGCGGTTGCAGTGTGTGTAAGGTAAGTGAAAGTTAAATCTTTGGTCCAGTAAGTTTTATAAACGGCAAGTAATTCTTAGTGATAACTAAGATATAGAAAAGTACGCTGCAGCTACAAACATATGACCTTGCCACGCGTTTTCAACATCTTGTTATTTAGTAGGCATTTGACGTGTTTGTTAAAGGTTTACAGGAGCTGGTTACTGTATTCAGACCTATTCTGTGTTTGTGTGTGTACGTGTGTGTGTTTTACATGTTGCCAGTGTCTTCTTGTTGTCATCAGAGAAACTTTCTGTTGACCTCTCTGTAAATAGCAGTTGTGTCTCATTCGACGTGCGTGGCTATTTATAATCCCGGTTGGCTTCAGTGGTTTGCTCTATACTGTATGAGGGATCAGGATATGATCTGGAGGACAATTATCTTCCAGTGCCTCAAAGACTTAAGTTCAGATTTACAATTCCATCTTTAGCCATTATATCATCTGACAAGGCTTCTCTTTCAACAAAGTTTGCACTGAATTATCTTTTTATTAGAAGCACAAAGTCTGTTGTCACAATAAGAGAAAGAAAGGTTTATTTATTTATTTTTGAGAAATAATGCAATCAGATAATGTAAGGGTATAATTGAAAAAGCTGATTTATATGTTATCACATTATTATTATTATTATTATTTTTAGCTGTAAGCTAGCAATGATTTTATCTAAAACTAAAACTCCAAAATTGCATCGGCAATTAAAATGAAGCAATAACAGATAAAGGAAATAAAGGAAAATTGAAATGTCTTTGCAACCAAGTTTATTTATTTTGTACTGTTTTTCTCATATATAACTAAATGTTAGGGCGAGGCAGTGGCGCAGTAGGAAGTGCTGTCGCCTCACAGCAAGAAGGTCGCTGGTTCGAACCTCGGCTCAGTTGGCGTTTCTGTGTGGAGTTTGCATGTTCTTTGCGTGGGTTTCCTCCGAGTGCTCTGGTGTCCCTCACAATCCAAAGACATGTGGTACAGGTGAATTGTCCATAGTGTATGAGTGTGTGTGTTTGTGGATGTTTCCCAGAGATGGGTTGCGGCTGGAAGGGCATCCGCTGTGTAAAAACTTGCTGGATAAGTTGGCGGTTCATTCCGCTGTGGCGACCCCAGATTAATAAAGGGACTAAGCCGACAAGAAAATGAATGGATTAAATGTTATTTAAATGTCAACTAAAATAATAACTATTATAAAATAATAACTAATATAAATATATAATATTTGTATATATTACAATATGGGTGACACGTATCGCTTCACAGCAAGAAGGTGGCTGGTTCGAGTCCCGACTGGGTCAGTTGGCATTTCTGTGTGGGGTTTGCGTGTTCTTTCCATGTTTGCGTGGGTTTTCTCTGGGTCCTCCGGTTTCCCCCACAGACCAAACCCTCATGACTGGACCCAGTCTGGCTTCCAGACAAGGGCCAAACATGAACCATATCTGGGCCAAGTCTTAGCCAAGTTAGCCTGAACTGGACCACATATGTTGGTGTGTCACGACTGCAATAAAATTGATAAACCCATGAATCATTGCACTTTAGGCATGCTATGGGTGTTCTTGAAGTGAACTGATTGTTAGATTTTTTTTCTAAAAATCTATTTTAAATGTGGGTCAAGATAGGCCAAACTTACATGACCCACATATCAATTATTAACATCTGGGCCAAATACTACAATTTACATCTGGCCCAAGTGTTGTGTGCCGCCTTAAAGACCGTGCTACTTTTGCCAAACCAGGACCATTTTTGGCCCACATGCTGTATGCCAGTGCTGGATAAATGCCTGCTGTGCCATATTTATGTTAAATCTGGGTTGGAATTCTTTGCTATCTGGGAAGATTTGCTCTATAGGTGAATTGAATAAGCTAAATTGGCTGTAGTGTATGTGTGTGCATGTGAGAATGTACGAGTGTGTCGCAGTACTGGGTTGCAGCTGGAAGGGTATCCACTGTAAAACATATGCTGGATATGTTGTCAGTTCATTCCGCTGAGGCGACCCCTGATTAATAAAAGGTCTAAGCCAAAGGAAAATGAATGAAAAAATAAATATTACAATATTTTTATTAGTTTTTCAGTTTGCATATTACGACAGCTTTACGCTATATTTAACAATCGTGTAAACACAACAACCCCCCCCCCCTCCCCCCCGATCAAAATATAAAACAATTAAGGGAAAAACATTAAAAAAGATAATTAAAAATGGAATAATAATACATACAAGTAGTAATAATACAAATATAATAATATTTACTTTTATAAGATATTGATATTTGAGATTTTTTCCTAATTCAAATGTTAAAATCCTAAAAGCTAAAAGTAAACATGAAATTAATTTTTTTAATTTGTTGACGTTAAAATAGGATCCCTATTCTTGAATCCCAATGATTTTGAGGCCCACGGCAACATGACATTGGAGTGCAGTTTTCCCCACCCACCGAATCCAATGGCAGGTACCACATCATAACATGTAAACACATGTCCACAGAACATGCAAAGCAACTGGGATTAAAACATGTTACAACTTTCTGTGATCAGCTGCACCTCAATAATTAATTTTATAAGTTTAAAATGTCTTTAAAACTGTGCAAACAGTGTAAAATCGCTATGTAATTCTTTACTGCATATTCACCGCAGCCACATGGTATCAGTAAATGCGCATATATGTGTGTGTGTGTGTGTGTGTGTGTTTGTGTGTGTGTACTGCAAACGGCATTTGTGCGAGACTCATCGTTTCAGAAAGGCTTGAATAAACTCCAATATAATAATATCAAATAAACTTACTTGGTATTTTTTGGGTGCTTTCACACTAGCACTTTTGGTC